GCATGTGTGTACAGAGTTCTTATGATCATCGTTTCAACAGGCAAAGGAAGAACTTCAAAGTATCTTCCCTCTATCTCACGAAAATTTCAGCTGCGGTAACGCGTTGGAAAGGGTTCTCGCATTGGAAATAGAACTTGCTGAAGCATTGCGTGGAAAGAAAAAATCCACCCTCCAATTTCAAAGGTACAGGATTAAAGAATTCATCTACTTTCTTGCCCTTGTAAAATCAAGATTTTGCAAGAACGAGAAAGAACTCTATTAAACATTGTTATGCCTTTTTCGCCTGAAAATGCAGCTCTTTCTTGAAGCAACACACCGATGACGAAGCAATCTTCCAGAGTTTCAGAGACATAAATGATCTAATCGAAGAAATGTTGGAGACCAAAGGCCGGTATTCTTCTGTGGAGACAGAACTTAAGGAAATGCATGACCGTTACTCTCAGCTAAGCCTCAAGTTTGCAGAGGTTGAAGGAGAGAGACAGAAGCTCATGATGACTCTGAAGAACGTTAGGGCATCCAAGAAAGCAATGCTCATAAACCGTTCATCATCAGCAACTCTTGGTGAACATTAATGCACAGATGTAACAATGTATATATGTCCCAAGAATGTTGAATATGTCCAACTTCTAACAGTACTTTCAAATTTATAGATAGCTTAATATATATGTTCTTTATTCAAAGATATGGGGTTCTCATAGTGATGTTTCTTCTCTGTATTGTATAGAAACCCATATTCTTTAATTCAAAGAATGAAGAGTTTAGTTGAGACTAAGAACATAGATAGTGACAAGTCTTATCCATTACAAGTAAACTCTTTTTATTGTACTGTTGTCTTTGAACATATTGTATAGTATTATATAAAACCATCCTTCAAGAATCATATTACATTTTCTCGAGCCATTTTTTGATAAACAATGAAGAATAAATGAACCACACAAGTGAAACCAAATTCTGTGTTTTTCATGTCTATGCCAATCATCCTGTACTGAAGGAACTTGTCAAAGCTTGTTTGTAGCTATGTAAGCTGTTCCATGGAGCATCATCATTCAGTGACATTATCTTCAAAGATAAAAATTTCTATGGTCCGATTTAATTGGAGCTACAAAATGGTGCACAAGCAGCGATTCTTTATCGGTGGATCATTCTGCAGTTTTTCTGTGGAAATGAAAATTTTTCATACAATGAGATAAATGAACATGACCTCAAATGAAGGCAAACAGCACCAAACCTTTAACTACAAGCCACTACATAATTCAGGGAAACATAAATTGTCACAACATAACGATAAACAGTACGAAAAATTACCGCTCTTTTTGTCTAAAGTAGGAGGGCGGAGAACAACATGCATAGTGATGATCATCCCAGGAAGTTCACCAATCGGAAGCCTAGACTCGCCAATTGTCCTATTGTTCTCCAGTATTTTCCCGGCATTGATGAGTTTCACGTCATTTACAGTCTTTGGAGTATTTTCTTTGTCTGTCAAATAGATTACAAACTTGAATATACATTTCCAACACAACCTTTAAGTAGTACCACAGAAGAGAGTAAATGAAAGAGCAGATTCAAACATCTAAAGCATGAAAAGCAATACAATTTCAGCATCAAATCAGCACCTAACACTATAAAGCTACCCCATAATAAAGCCTTCCTTATACATTCAGTTATTGCAGAAACAAGAATAAAAAAAAGACAAACTTTATACAATCAAAACCCAATGGAGAGACAGAAACATTGAACTACAAAACAGAGATCACAGATTACAAAAAGGAACCATATGAGTTTGAGACATCAC